CTTCAAGGGTACAGTTGAAGGCAGGTAAGCCTTCATGCAGGCCGACCAAAGAATCAGCTGAAGACACACAAAACCCATTAAGTGGACAACCTGAAAGAAGTGGTGAGTGCACAAGAACGAGGTTTTGTCAATTTAACCCTTTTATGGTGGGATGAATTTATGGTGGAATTAAGATTTTTAAAGACTATACAGCAACATCTGGGAAAAAACTCAAAATTCTAAAATCAAAATGTCCCTCTCCCCCTGCAAATGCAAATATTTTTCTGTGGCTTTTAGCCAAATCAGTGAAAAGGGAAAATTCTAGAAGACAACAGGGCAATTATTTTAGCACAAAAAACCCCCACCAATATTCAAATCTCTCCCCCAAAACAGCTGCCAGATTTGTGGAACTAAAAGGAGCGTTCGGGGTTTGGGGTTTTTATCCGTCCAGGAGAAGGTGTCACGACAGAAGCGTGCTGCATTCCGGAGGCACATACACAAACAGTGGTATACAGGCCCTTAAAGCTGTTTGTCCCCTATGCATCACTGCCCTGCCAGTTGGCAAGCCTGAGCCAGGAAGCTGTCAACCCCAATCAAGTTTAGGCGATGCAGTCCTATTAAAGAAGTCTTGCTGGTTAAGGGGCGTCCACTGTTTCCAAAGCATGGGAAAAAAGAAAAAAAAAAAAAAAAGGCAAAAAAAAGGGCTCTGCTTTCCTTAGATTTGAGCTGGCAACTTTCACTGACTAGAGTTTTCAAGGAGCTATGAATGAGCTTAACAAAGGAGTTCTGTGGCTAGTTTCTGGCTGAAATCCATGTCAACAGTTTTGAAGGTCACAGGTCACACTAACTAACATTTATTCCCAGCAGACCCTGCTCTAAACACAAGCTGTAAGTAGTACAAATTTGGAATTTTTCTGTAATCCCTTGAGATATTCCTGATCCTTCCACATGTTTCTGCTCAATTAAAAACAATTCTCACTTTGCACCACAAGAGAGGCCCCTGCTCAGAAATCTTATTCTATCCTAAGAATAAATGGACAAAGACTGCAATCAAAGGGAAGGAAAGGGGGGAGGAGAGGAGCTCACAACAAATCACACCAAAAACCTCAAATAACTCCATACAGAATCACATTCAGTTAGTTACATTTTCTGCCATCTGTCACAAACTATTATAGATTCATTTCTTTTTATCTTAGAAAAAGAGTGGTGCAGAGCTTAGCTATTTTGGCCGAGAGGGATTTCCACACAAATGTTTCTGCATTTCACTTCAGAAGAATGATTTTCATTTTGGGTACAAAAGCTGAATACCCACTGAAAACTTCAAATTAAGTAAAATTGAAATCAGAGTCGCACATGGTTATAGCACTTTCTTGAATCAGTAACTTTGCCCAGTGAGTTCATGAACCAAAGCAAAACTACACAAAGTTTTACCTTTGGTTTTGGGTTTTTTTTTTACTTTAAAAATACTTGGAGCAGGACAAAAATCTTTGACTTGTATTACTACTGCTCCTTCAAGCAGTTGGAAATAGGTGCTATCGCTCACAGTTTAACAGATGCAACATAAACTCTACTAGTTAATAATAAAACAAAGCAAGGCACCTATGACACGGTTACAGGAAGGAGAGTTTCTTGTCCACCAGGTGTAATTACTTCAACTAAGTATGGATAAATCCCGGGGCCTTCGGGGCAATACAGTCTGTCCAGCTCCACACACCGCTCCAGTGTTGTCCACGCAGTATCCACAACCGTCTCACTCGGTACCAACGGTCACCCCCTCTTCTCAGAAGTGTTTGCTGTTATTGCTGCAACCCCTTCTGAAAGGAAGGGAAAAGGCAGCACATGGGCAGCCTTGGAGGGACAAACCGTTGTGTACGGTCCAGCAGCATTTACCGAACACCTCCCAAAGCTGTTCTTATAATATCTGGACCAAATAAACGTTGCAAATCAAATACAGCATTAGATTGACCAAAACCAAAATTTGTGGAGAAACTGCAGGTAACAAGGCAACATATTTATCTGCTCAGACGGAAGAGGACACTGACTGCCGACCGCCATAGCTTTTAGGAGTCTGACTCCTGCTGAGGCTGAGAACCCTAACAGCCATTCTGCCCAGCTTTTGTAACTTAAGAACGAGGAAATCGTAATAGTTTACAAGCTTAGTGACATCCTGGAAAATAATACAACCAGCGAAGGATCGCATATAAAACAATTTCTAGATGTTGACACTCTGTCATACACCAGCAATCCAGACTAGATTAAGAACTGAGTGTTTTTACACAACCAGGAACATTTCTTCAAAAACGTTAAAAATAGTTTTATTAGGATTGCTTTGTTGTACTGCAGAAGTGTTGGGGCTTTTGGGGTGGTCTGTGTGTGTTCCTTGGGGGTTTTTTAACACATTTTTTGTTTCTGAGTGGTTTTCATTCAATTTTTCACACCACTGGCCTCAGAATCTTAACTCAGAATTAAAGGACTATGAAGCAAACTGAGGAACAGCAAGAACGTTGCCTTCAAAGCTATTCTGCCAAATGGCTTTGAAGAGCACAATTATTATACTTGGCCTTATACTTAATAGAGAAGTTCAGTTAAATCAATACAAAAATATTATCTCTCAGTTAAACTACCAAACCTATTTTTTAAGCTCAAACATTGCCATAAGAGAAGCACATGTTTAAATATTTCAGAATACAAAAGGTAAACATATTTTTAAAAATTGAACTTGTCAGGTTTTTTATATAGATATTCTGCAACAAGGGTATCAAAAAAGGATTCAGACTGAGTTAACAGCATTTTTTACATCCCTAAAGCAGAACTTTTTCTTCCTTCGTGATTGCACAGAAACAGAAAGTTGTCAGGAGTGAGATTCTACAACATAAAGTCAGAAGGACAAACACCCCAGCTTCAATGAAAACGGATATGCACTTCTAAATAGTCATCACACGAGATCTTGCTATCTTTCTCTGGCATAGGGGGGAAATTTCATGTTTCAATGTCTCTCTAGAATTTAGAATTTCCTACGTTCAGCAGCCTCCTCATAGCTCTAAGCACCCTATCTTTATTTTCTTCACCCATCTTCAGACCATTACAGTACAAGTAAGCACACACTGCCCTACGAGCGGCCCACATACAAAAGCGTTTGTCCACCTTTGCTCTGAGAGACCAGACTGTAAAATAAAACACTACTCCACTCCGTACTTATGAACACAACCTGGTTTACGCATTACCTTCCCAACAAGAGAATGTTGAAACCCATCACTGCCTGTGCCTGAGTCCCAATTCATCCCCTGCTGTAACTACACTGAAATTCCTTTTTTTTTTTGGTTATGAGTCGAAGCAGAAGGCATTTGACTACAACACAACTCCTCCATTTCTTCTTGGCTTTCACTCAACATAAGGGAGCTGACAGCAAAGAACTCTTATCCAGGAGAGATCAAGAAGGGACTCATACTACTCCTCATTCAGATTTTCTTTTTAAACTGTGTTTCCTCTTTAATTTGTCATTAGTGAGGAAAAGTTATGTTACGTAACCAGACACTTCCCACATGAGAGTGAATCAGCACCCCAGCTACACAGGGCAGCAGCTACGGGGAAGGAGTTGGGGAAATGCCCCCCCGACTTCAGCATACATCCCATACTGGGGGATTGCCACACCGAGTAGCAGTTGAGACGTCTGCTAGAGAAAAGAGAACAAATATGCTGAGAAAACAGCTGCCACCCCATCTCCCACACAGTTAGTTGGTAATTTTGGTAGATTTCACAATAATTTCTCCAAATATTAAGCTCCTTTGGTGAAGGTCTAGTTTAGCAGATCACTGTCACAGTCCAACGGGGAAGTACAAGGCACCAAACATTTGGTACTTCCCCAGTCTAGTGCCAGCACAAATGGCACAGACGTTCATGTTGAATACGTACAGCAAGCCAAAATCTATTCCACGGGACTGCTGTGTGCAACCCAATCAGAAAAGCGTCCTGGTACTGGATAGGTGCTCCAATATTTCACAACATTATCCCTGAAATTCTCCAGGTGGGTGATATTCAGTAACATTTATACAGAATTCCCATTCTGTCCCGTGCAACACACAGTACTCACAGGACGAAGACATGTTCTTGTCCTTACACTGGATACTCTCCCATGAAAAGCAAACCAGATAGGACAGAGAGGTGTCTGCAGTTGCTCATAGAGGAAATTGTCCTCATTTGTGATTGCCTGAGCAGTTGCCCAGTCACCTGGCCGGCTGTTCGTACAGTTAGTCTGAGCTGCCTTTACCCGGGCCATTGCTCTGAAACTTCCCACTTTCTGTGAACATGCAAGAAGCAGAAGGCAGAAGACACACCTGAAATTTGTTTCAAACAAGATGCCATGTGGAAATATTCAATCCATAGAAGTTCTTAATGGAGCTAATATACTGGTAGGTATTAAAACTGATTTTATTGGCATCATTTCTTGCAGCACATGCAAATAGAAAATCATGGACTGCATTCCAACATGCCTGTGGCAGGTCATCAAAAACTACTGGCAGAGCCTCTGTGCCCATTTTATGTGAAATGCATTGTTCCCAACTTCCACCAACAGTCTTTATTCACAAAAGCCTCAATGAGGGCAGAGTAAAGCTCACACATACACAATTTCAGGATGTGGAGAGCACCAGTGACATTCTCTCGGTTACTAACAGATGCTTTGTTAATAAAACTTGCATATACAAATGTCCACAAAATGTCCTAACAAGATCAGTTGTGACAGCTAAAGATAACAGCTGCCATCGTGCTATGTCATATCACATTACTGCAAAGACACTTTTTTTTTCCACAGTTAACTCAAGAACATTGACTACAAACAAATACAGCTATCTACAGAGGAACTCCAAGTGCAAGATATTTTGCATCACTTCTGCAGAAGAGCAGTGACTTTGAGGACCAGATAGCAAAATGATTTTGAACAGCTGGAAATTATAATTGCAGCGTAACACAGCAAAGTCAAACACTGTTTCCTAGAGTCAGCCAAAAGCCAACCACAGACCTACCTTAAGATACAGAAGCAGCTCTTGGCCCCGGAAGATAAGCGACAGAATCCAAACCTCTGTTTGCTGTCAATGTCTGTAAGCACAAATGTAAAGTTCTGCCCAACTTGGTTAACTGCATGGCTGAAAATAAAGAGAGTAAGAGGAAAAACATGAATGTTGGGCTAACTTTGTGTCAAAAGTATCCAGTCTAAGTCATTGAACCTATAACATTTCCTCTTTCAGCACAGTTTTTTTGGGAAATTAACTGACAGTACACACCCTCTAGAAACTTAAATATGCTAGTTGCTTAGTGAGGGAGGAGTGGTTTTGGGGAAGTTTTTTCCCATTTTTTAAGTGTGAGAGGATACTAAAAATATATTTATCTGTAAATAAAAATGGTTATGACTGTCAACCATCTACAATGCAGTACACACAGTACAAACCAAATTCATGCGCCCTCATATAACCCAAAATATTTCAGCCTTACTCTTCATTTGAGACTTGGTTTACTCCAAGAGAAAGACAATGTTTAATAACATGCTAAACTCCCTCGACACCTGGATACTGACTTGTAGAAGATTTTTTATCCGTCCACCAATCTCACATATATGCCAGATACATCATTCCCAAGTTTTCAGCAACTGAAACCACACTACGTGACTCTCCTTTATCAGCCAGGCAATCAGTTAAAACAAAGACTAGAATAGTGTGCAAAGGAAGAAAAGATAAACTAAAACCAAAAGTAAATTGTGCTACAGCCAGTTGTGACTGTAAGAATGATTCTGCAGGACTTTTACATGATTTTTCAAAATTAAGAGTCATTTGCCTCATCTGTAAGATTGTAATGGCTCTTCAGGAATAGGCAGTGAGTGAACAACAGGCTTAGATGTTGGCTCCCCCTCACCCACACTGGAAAGTATCACTGTGGGAAAACTTGTACAAGTTGAAAAGATGGAGTTTTGGAAAACAAAACAAAACAAATCAAAAGCACACAAACAATTGCCACAATCACCACCAAAACAAACAAACACAAACCCACAAACACAAACCCCAAGAACCAAATCACCCAAACAAACAAATTAAAAAAATCCCCAAACCCAAACATTTAAAAATCCATGTCTAATTCACATCCATGTTTTATCACTAATAGGTGATGGTTGAAGTAGTAAAATAAGATCAGAATAAGATGCTTTACATTTAAAGCACAGTACTTTCTGAATGCTATTTACTAGTAACATTATAGACACTCTTGAGATATTACCACATGTGCTGAAAGTTAATCAAGTGCTTCTGTGCGTGATGGCAGATTCCACGCAAACCGTGCCCAACTCACCTCCCAGTTTGTAGTGGTGTAGGTTTACTGTTTAACAGGAATTTTGACATTTAGTGGTGAAGCTGGGACTAATGTAATTATCAGAAGATTTTTCACCAATTTCAGACCTATTTGATACCTCATAATGGTATGAAATCAACACTTCTTTCAGGCTATGTTCATTTGAGGCTTGCTGAGAACTGAGAACACTGACTTGCATTCACATGGGCATCCTGACACGTGAGTCCCACCAACAGCAACAACCCTGTAAATTCAAGGCCATTTAACTAACAGTCACAAGCCCTAAAAGTGAGCAAATATTCTCTTCTATAATGCCATATGCAATGGAATAAAGAATTTATGTGGGAGATTATACACCCAGTGCCTAGAGGGGGAAAAAAAAAAAGGCTTTCAGAAATAAAAGTTGGATGAAGATCGGAAAGATGTCTCTGTCCAGTTTAGGAAGAAAAATCCTTCACTGGATTCCAAACAAAGAAGGAAAACAAAGTGATGAAGTAGTGATGAAGACAAAAAAGTGCTCCAAATTCACAGATGAACAAAAAGACAGATATTTAAAAGCATTTCAGTAGTCTGAGTATTAGGCAGTGTAAGTACTATCATCCTACCAAAATCTAAATGTCAACAGAGCAACCCTTTCCATAAACCGTACTGAGCTGCCAGGGATACCCAAAAATCCCTTACTGCTGTTGTGTTTTATCTGAGAAGCTTGGATGTAATGTTACCATGGCAATTTTAGTATGGTGTTTTAAAAGGGGATTATATGCTTAATTTTAACAAGGCGGAGAGCAGACCGTGTGTGAGAAATAGTATTCTAGCTGACAACTGAAATTATGGAACGGCAGCGAAAAACCCCATTCTTCATTTGAGCAGGGAGAAGCTTGTTTATTAAACAATTGTGACAAGTTGGTAAGTTCCTCCAAAGTAAATCTGAGGATTCTTGCATTTATGGGATCTGCAGAAGCTAAAGATGTCAGATAGGTCTTGCTCAAGTTTCAGGCATCAGTTCTTCACATGGAAGAATAAACTTCCCAACACAAAAAGTGCATTTCCTAAGATCTTAAATAACAACACTTAGGATTCAGAGCTCTATTTTCAAAGGGGAAGGTCTGTTTAGAGTCTAACAGGATGGAAGCACCATAAATCTCATCTCTAAATGGGCAGAGAGAAGATAGGGTTAGAGGGATGGGGAGAGAGAAAGAGAGATTTCTGAAAAATCCCCCACCGCTAGCTATATTTGACTAACACAAATGAATCCTGACTGGAAATTTGACTGGAGTTCTTCACTCCTGCAGATGAAGAGCTTCTGCCTTGATCCCGCAGCCATAGCAGTAGAAAATTCATGGTCCACTGCCTAAAGGAAGGGGCAACTAGTCTCTGGTGATTTTTAACCACCGGGAACAATATACATATATATATAAATAATCAATATATGAAGAGTTAAGAGTCTGTGTCAATAAGTGCCAAAACCTTCAGCACACAGCATTCAGATACGTTGATTTGCCTCAAAATTTGGTGTCCTGTCACCACATGAACCTGCGATCTGGCAGAGGCAATCGTACATCTTCACGTTTTGCCACCTGCTTTTTAAAGCATGCAGCCTCAGAGAAGACACACACGAAGGTACAGATTTATGTACTTTCTTGGCACTTGGTAAAGAAACACCACTGTTTAATACCAAAGTCAGAAGAGCAAGACTCAACTCAAGTACCACTGACCCACTTCTACCATCAAGAAGTTTCCCCTGAATGCCTGGCACAATACTGCATGTCACACAGAACTCAGCTACGTAAATTAAAGTTCCCCAAGTAAACGTCCTCACAAATGGTATTAACTGGGGACGTGACTCTAACAGGACTTGAAAACCTAAATTCTACGACAGATAATGCTACTTTGCAGCATCTATTCTTTAGGGACTACATATTTTTGATCGTATCAGCATCTATTCATCGTAATTTGTATCTATGATTTTTACTGATCCTGAAGAGACATCCTACACAGTGTTATTCCAACAGAAGGTATTATCCCATGTTCCTAAGTTATTTGAACAATGAGGCAGTCTCCACTGTTACATTAAGAATAATAATTTTAAACCTCTCAACATTGCAGAGAGATTCCAATACTAAAATTATCACAGCTAAGAACAAGACAACCTAGTTAACTGGGAACAGCACCTGAGTATTTGGACAGCCTTTATTGAAACCACTTCTGCCTCTCTCTCTCTCTTGTTTTCTTCAGAATAAGCAAAACAATATACATTAAAAAAAAAATACTCTGAGGAATAAGAATTCCAGTAACTGGAGATCTGATCCAGCACACCACTTTTCAGGCACATAGAGAGGGATAAAGTCCCACTAGAGAGTGCTAGTCAACTCTGTAAGGCAGCACTGTAAGGACCTTTCTGACACATAACTGAAGACAGTATTTCTTCTAGAAGCAATTTCTTTTTGTCTTAAAGTACAAAAAGTGTTTATTAAAAAACACTTAGTGAACACAGAACACAGAAACACAGCAAAAGTGTTATTCTAAGGGGAATATTAAACCATTGTCTGAAGTAACTTCACTACGGGGCTACCTGCTTGCTATTATAAATAACTTTATACATTTCTTATATTGCATTTAAAACAGTTACTCAGTAATTGGTTAACTGGTTTAATAGTAAACAGGGAAAGAAAAGACCAACAGTGCAAATTCATCACTTGTTGAGTTCCAGAAATAGCCTGTAAGAACAGGTATTTGATCAGTTCTAAACTTGGAAGTATTAAAAGATGAAGAACATTTTGCAGGCAAGCTGCACTGCATTTTTCTCTTTATCACATTAAATGGTCACATTAAATTCATTTGCATTCAGTGATAGAAGACTGCTCACCTTATTGACGTAACTGGCAGGTTAATACCCACACACAGTTCAAAGCAAAGTCAAATCTATATCACAGAGGACACGAGTATTTACTGACATACGTACACTCATGCGCACACCCGTACATGCACACGTGAGGCGTGTGTATTTTTACAAGAGAAGAAGTAGCACACACATCCCTTAGCTGCCATATCCTTAACTTGGGACATCCTCTACCTTCTGGAGTATTGCAAGTCCACTCTTAATTTTGAATTAAGTATGCTGTGGGTTACAATCTCTCCTTTATGTTCAAAATGTTACAGTCATTTCAGTGACAGCCTGTGATATTCAGTCAAACAAGCGAATCCAGAAATGAGAATCGCTTTTCATTATGTTCTCATTTGCACCCATATGGGTTTTCAGTGTTCTTATCTTTCAAAATGTTATATTGCTGGGGAAAAACAAAAAACAACAAAACAAACAAACCCCCTAGGTACAATAAACCTACACACAGTAGGCATAAATAGTTCTAGCAGAAACACATACATGAGAAAAATATATCTGAGTACTCCCCAGCTCCCTCCCCTTGGGAAACGAGAAAGATCAGCACAAAGTGATTCCAAATTATAAGAAGCATTTGTGGCTTTTAATGGTCATCTGAGTCAACATCCGCTAGTTCGACAGCTCATGTTGGCAGCCCAGGACTTTCAAATTCTCTTTTTATGTCCAAACTGGGCTCTGCGGAAGCAGTGCTAATAGCAGCTGTGTCCAGCAGTGCCTCCCTCGTGTCTCTCAACCCTGACCTGCGGGAACCACCTGGAGGGTTGAAAGAACATGTCATCTGCATGACCCACTCAAGCTCCCAGCTTCCCCCAACCCCAGATTACTGCCTCGGAGCAGCGGAGCGTGGGTTTGTTACGCAGACTCCCGTCTCCAGAGCAGCGTAGTGAGGGTTCATCTCCATTCACAGCGACTAGTTTGAAGATAACTAAGAAATACCAGCTGGCCTAGGGGTGGGGAAAATGGAAAGGGGGAAGAAAAAAACCTGAGCAACAGCTCAAACGAGGAGCGATATTAGAAATGGATGTTGATTTATAAAGAAAATCAATTTCTACTGCAAATAACACAGATTTCACTGAAATGAGAAAGAGATTTCTAGCAGTTTAATCGCAGTTAAGGTCAGTTTCATCAATCAAAGCCATTCGGGTGTGAGCTGCCCTCAGAGAAGCGACTCTGACCAATTAAGTGATGCTCATAGGTGACGGGAGCAGCCGTGCATCCTTGCAAAATTTCAATGCTTCTTCTTGTCATGAAAACATCAGAAACAAGTCACAGTAAAAGCAAAGCTAAAACACTCAAACAGTTGTGGAGTTTTCTAAATTACAAGAATTAAATATTCTCAGTTCCTGTCAAATCCACTGCAACTTACTTTATAATTTTTCCCCCCAAAATTAGAAGCCACATTAAGTAGCCACCAAGTAAAGCACCAGCATTCCAGCAAGATCATGAGGCCTTTAAATGTAAAGCACTTAATTCATTGTTCTGCCCAAATTTTGGCAATTAAGAAATAAAATACATACACACACAAAGCTTTGACATCAGTATTCGTATCTGGCAATTACTACCCAGGCATTTTCACACCCAGGCCTTACACAGAGGTAAACCAAAGCGCACTCGTACTGCTGCCACTGCGCAGCTCTAACTTTTAAAACTTCTTTTTTTTTTTTTTGATGGTGCCCATAAAAACCCCAGGAAAAAGTGATTCTAAGACTATAATTTGCACTTGGGTGCTTTAAATCACAGTCAAGCAGACAGAACATTAAGAATGGTATGGTTTTTATTTTCTACAGTGGTTTTATTGACAAGCTTATTTTCTTGTAAAGTTTGAAAAGCTAACACTACCTGTCCACACAGAAGGGGAAACAAAACTTGGTCAAAGTCTGTAGAACTTCCTGTGGAGAGAAAAAGAGATAATTTATACATCTATTGGGACCAATAAATCTAATATTAACCACATCACACAATTTCACAACTTTGCCCTGAAGAAATAAGAGACAGATGAAGAAATATGGGCTTTATCAATTACATGGAAGGAGTACCAGGCAGTCAATCATGTGAAATAATAAACATGATCAAACTTCATTAAAAATGAAAAATTAATCAAGATTCACACATGGGCAGGCAGCAGGAGCCATCCAGCAATTCTCCAAAGAGTAGGAGGAGGTTGGGTTGTTGAGTGTTAACACCTCTCTGGGGACAATCTCTACCCTGACCATATGGATCATAGTGAATAACACCAAACCACATGGGTTTGGCCTGGCAGGACCACTTCTGCTGGCACAGCTTTTGACTGTTACCTAGGAACAGAGGTCTGGGGGATTGGAGAATACTTCCTAACATCAGCAAGATAAATAACAAAAGATAAAGCCAAGAGGTCTCATAGCAGGAATGTTCAGCATTGCCTACTGGTATTAGAAAGAAAACCTGAGTGCTGAAAGACTGATTAAAATAACATGCATTAATTTTACATACAAACTGTTTAATCTACAAACCATTTTCTAAAAGCTGCAAAACAGCACCACAAACAGAGAAACTTCTGAGTATAACCTTTGCATGATAATAAATAAAAAGCACAAATATGAAAACTGAAAACATAAGTGGCAGAGAAATTAATAATTTTCAACTTACAACTTTAAACAAGTACAATCATCAGAGGCAAAACCAGAAACACTTCAGTCCCAAAATAGCTGTGTCATAGACAAAAGTAATTCATTTCCATTACATTGTTCTATAATATTCAAAATTACAATTCAATAATCCACAATCCACCCTAACGGTCTACCCAGTTTGCAGACGTTTACTACCAGGTAATTCACTGTTCGTTCTCCTTCACACTTAAATATTTCAGGACCTGAAATGTAAATTACATTTCTGCTTTAAGCTGAAACAAGATAACCCCGACTAAATGACAAACCCTCTGACAAATTCAACACTTTTCTGACCAATAGCAATAAATTACACCAATAACTAAACTGAAGCTTCTCACTTCATTTATTTCTAAAGCCAATGCCATCATTCAACAAATAAACTGCATCCATCTAATAACCTATTCAATGAAGCAGAAAACATATTGACTCCCTTGCAAGAACATGTTCCTCCTACATAATTCAAATAAGCCCATCCCATTCCCAGCAATGGTTTCAGGCACAACTGCACGTAGACTCTTCTTTGGAGAATTCTTGACAACTAAAATGTGGCAAGTTCTTAAGATTTCAGGCAGAAACAGATACGGAAACTTTGACTTCTTGACAGTTTATTGATAGATTATTTAACAACCTCCTGTTTTTAAAGAACAAGAAAGGATCTATTGAAGAATGCCATGTAAAGCAAAGAAGCATCCTCCTTTCAATTTCAGCAGAAAACTTGGGAAGGAGCTATAAAGGTTCCAGAGTAAACTCTGCAGAAATACATATTTTGATATAAAATAATGCCTTGATATCCAGGCTTCATTAATGTGATTAGGTTCACCCTTGTGCAGAATCTCACTGACTTACAAGGATCAAGCATCTGCTAAACAACTCTGATCACTTTCACACAAAAAAATACATCTTCACAAACTTTAACTATTACAATGTTGTCCTTTACACACAACTGAAATGTTAACGCATAAAGTGGTTAAAACACCACCAAACAACCCAACAAACCCCCCAGAATTTTAAAAGAACCAAGATTGTAATTGCAGGAGAGTAAAGAGCCTACATTTTTATTGGACTCACCAATAGAAACTGTCTTTAAAATAATGACTGCACATCTATTTTTTAGAAACAAAGCCGTGTAGCTGCTACATAGAATTCTGAAATAAAACTGTGGTAAAAGATACCAAGTCAGTCACCCCAGAATGGTAGAATACATTCTCTCCATAATTTTGATGATTTATATCATTACTGTAACTGTAAGTAAAAATATTCACATAATAAAACACTTGAGCATCTCATTGTGTTACTGTCGGATAAGTGTATTGCTCAGAACTTAACTCTGCACTTGTTTCTTGATATTTATAGCTTCCTAAACACAGAAAATGAACCTTTCACTTACAGAAGCAATATACTGAATCTGTACCATTGAGCTGTCTTGTAAAGAAAGATTTTAAAGTGATATTATTATGTGGCTTTTATAATGTTATTGGACATAATTTGCCTCTCATTACACACCAATACCTTATCTCCTTGACTGACAAATAAAAATTCAGACTAGTATAGGTTAAGCACAGATGTATTTTTAAATTTTAACTATTAAAAATATATATAAAAATCACAGACTTAGTTTTTAATTAGCAAAACTGCTATCTTTTGCATGTAAGAAATACAGTGACTGGGGAACTACTCTATTCTTGCTCGTGTTGCAAGCTCGTTACTATAAATGTAACGGGAGGTCTTTGTGTGGGTTTGTTTTTTTTGTTGTTGTTGTTTGTTTGTTTCCTTTAACTACAGCTCAGTTTGAAAGATCAGCAATGTCTAGATAATATACAACTTCCTACCAGACCTCTTTAGGTGGGTGGTTACTTACGGCCTAGAAAGATCATCATTCCTTTATGATTTCAAACAAAAAACAGAACAAAACCAACAAAACCAGAATCGCTCCATGTCAGCATCTTATAATCCTTTTTATGTTTTCACCTGACATGAAACACTGAGGCAGTATCGATAGCCTGTTTTCTTATTTTATTCCCCTATGCCTATTTTCCTAAAGAAAAACCTACATAAATGCCTCAAAAGCAAAATCCCCCTAAAAAGAAGCCAAGAAAAAACCCCAAACAATCCAGGACACACAGCTGATCAGCGTAAATTACCCAGTAGCTGAAACCAGTGTCTCCAGGGGATCACATGCCAGTTTTCTGGATCAATCCCCAAGTTTATATTTTCACAAATCTTTTTACATGCAGTTTGATTTTTAACATTTTAATGAGCAAAAAGTGCATCTATAGCAGCCAGTCACCACAGTTAAAGTGCAGGGCATGAACTGCGTCCCCTGAGGGATTCAGCCCAGCCGTGTCACCACTGGCTTTAGGACATACACCACCTGGTTCCTTGTCCCAAGGTTCCAACTCTTTTCATAATCAAAACACTGCTGACATTATAAACCCCACATGGGTTTTCTAAAATCCTTCCCAATCAATAAAGGCAGTACATAACTTATCGGAGACAACACAGAGCTCATTGATTAAGTTTGGTTTCAGTAGCAAAGTTTTCAAAATAAATGAGGCAGGAATACAGCGCTCAGCCCCTTTGTGTCACACAGCAATTGATGAAGGTGAGGCAGTCTCAGAAAGGATTTCCTCTGCACACACGAGAGAGACTTGCAAAGCGCATGGAAAGCAAGGCTGTTAAATACACACGATACACGCTTGGCTTATGTCCCAAATTATCTATATTTTGAGATGACATAGTAAAGAAAGCTCAACATTGCTGAAAAATTTTGCATATTCAGTTGTGAATTCAATATGCAAGATGTATCTTTAGTCTTTTGTTTTTATTTTGAAACCTTTCACTGTATGCTGTCATTTCCCAGTCATTCCCCAGTAGTAGAGGCAACTACTTCAGAGCCTCTTAAATACACAGGATGGCTTTATTTCTCTTGTTCAAATGAACATCGGTAACAAACACGCCATGCTGCAGCTACAGTTAAATAAAACTGCACTGATAAAATGATATGCAAATTGATGGTGTAATGCAAGAACAGCAGACTGGTGCGGACAATCTAGTCGCAGAATGACGCACGATCCAACAGACATTCAAAGCGGAACAAGTTTAAGTAGAAGCTGGAGAGGAAAGAAATTAAAATACAGACAGAGACGTGTGAAAAATTATGAATGAATATATTACAGTGGGAGTCAGAGAAGGGAATCGATACACCACAAACCCAACAGGTTGGGGACCTGTATTTGCAAGCCTGTTGGGAAACCTGAGGAAAAGCAGGATGAAGTTGAAAAGACAACCCAGAGCACAGACAAGATCTATACCTGTAGGTCATGGGGAAAACCCAACCAACCAACCCACCCTCACAACCATATTTCAGAAAGTCCATACATTTTTACAGGACAATTCAAATATTACGAGAGAATGGAGCATTGCAAATCAGATGAGTCTTCCATGGAGAGATGACTCAGTGATGAAAAATATGAATGCTGGTTTACATCCTTGACCTTAAGCCAGAGGTGAAGTACAGGTGAGGCTGCTCTAAGTGAAAGGCTAAACAGAGCGTGGAAGTAATCCAGCCTGAAATGCCATCTGAATCTGTCAAACGACCACGAAATCCATCCTCTTCGCATGGAGGGACACCAAGAGAACTCCAAGAACACGTCAAGGAAGGAGGAGAAACTGGAGTGCAACGAGGGTTAAGGAGAGGCAATGACTGCCAGCCATAAGGGATGAAGGAAAGTGGGACAGGTAACGGGACCCCGACTTGACCAGCAAGCAACTACAGATGATTTCATTTCTGCTCAGAAGCATCAAATTTAAACATCACAAAAATGTCAGTATAGCATGAAAGAGTGCTATGACAGTAACTGAAGCAAAATATTATCCAATTGTTTTGAAATTGAGCTGGTATATTAATCTACCTTAGGGCCACAAAACTGTAAACTGCTCCTGTATTTAATTCATCGGTTTGAATAATTTTAAGCTAATAATTAACTAAATCATCCATTGCAACGGAACAACAGGTTTAAGAATTCAAAAAGCTTGTCACCCAAAAAACCTACTTAATTGGGTTGTGAAAGAAAACAATCTAGAACACCATCAACTCTGTTCACTGCGCAGAGTTGGTCAGAAATTCATATATATTTTCCCAGGAAAGGGAACATCTTTCTGCACAATAATAAGCATCTCAGTAACAGGTTTGGATCACTACTTCAAAGATTTTACAAAGCCATCAGGGTTCTACTAGATGCAGT